TCCCTACTCTGCCTAGTCTCCTCCTCCCTTTCATCCCAACACCTCCCACAAATCCCTTTTCCATATTCATGTGTTGTTGTTTTGTTTTGAGATCCAGTGGATTTGGTCAGGGAATTCTGTGTGACCTTAGGCTTGGAAGGCTCTACTGGAGCCATATGGACTCAGCAGGGGTTACACCGCTAATGGCAGTGATCCCCCAGTTTCCAGAGTTTGTCATTACTCCTAAACATAAGAAAGATACATGGAGAACTTGAAGACCAGAACCATTCAGACACAATGAGCTTGAAGTTACTTATTGATTACAACACCCAGGACTTATTTGTTAACAGAGACACAAACCAAGACTTGGATCACTCCCATATCACAGGGTAAGTGGGACCTTAGGAAAGGGACACTCTAAGCCCAGGTCTTCCAGGCGTCACAAAGATGGATTCATAGAGAATAAGCTCATATTAAAAACTATAATATACCCAAGGTTACCCTGAAGATAAGAGCAGAAGAAACAGACCAGCCCATAAGTAAGATTCTTCAGATTCTTCAGACGGCACATATGTATGTATGTATATGTATATGAAAGTAAGTATATATTATATTTACATTTATTTTTATGTTTTAAAAATTAAAAATAAGAATGGCAAATACAGACGGAATGAATTTCTCTGTAAGAAAATACAGGCATTTCCAGAAAAGAACCAAGTAGAACTCTCAGAAGTGATAAATATCACTGCAAATAAAATTTCAATTGACATGTTAGATATGCACACAATTGAAAAAATAATTAGGAAGCTGGAAGACTAAACTGAGCACATTCACCTAGAATGCAACATGAAAAAAATAAAACGGAGAACAGGAGACAATGGGTATAGAAATGAACCTTCCAACCTAAGTCTAATACAAATACAAGAAGGGGTGGGGTAAGAGAGATTGGAGAGAATGAGGAGGAGACAGTGTTCAAGCAGCTATACATTGTTCAAGTTGGTGAATCATGGAATCATTGCCCAGAAAGCTTCAGGTCTCAAGTGAGCACTCTGAACTTGATTCACTGTGCATGCACAGATTTGCTTTGTAGAATGTGTAAACCAGAGACCAAGCCAAGAATATGTATATTTTTCCATAGTACCCTTGGAGCCCAACAAGTCACTTGGTCTACAACTGAGTAGCACCAAGAATGAAGGTCACACACACCATTCCCTCTGAGTTCAATATAATCAGCTGAGATGTAAGTCCAACAACATTACTTAATTACTGAAATGTGAGTATGTCAGTAGCACCCATGTTTTTGCATCAGTGTTCTCACTGAATGGATCATGAAAGACTTAAGTGTATGATATATTTCTGTCATTCAGGCTTAGTATTTGGCTCTTAAGGATCTGGAGCTTGAGTGGGTTTCTGTATTTCTTCCCAGGATATTTCTGCTCACTGCTATGTTAGCTAAGAAGAGGTTTATCTTGTAGCTGAACTAAATGTATTTGCATGTGTATACAGTGGCTGTTTCTCATAAATGCATTATCTTGGACAAGCTAATTGAATTGTCTATACCAGTTTTCTCATTCATAAAATTGGGATAATAATAATAATTACTGATCATATCATCATTAGACATATAAAATTTAATATATGTTAAAAATCTCATGATACTATTTATCAGTATCTTAGTCTGTTTATTGTTGCTATAACAAATATATCCAACACTAGGTAGCTTATGAAGAATAGAAATTAATTTGGCTCACAAAATCTAGAGCCTGGAAGTCTAAAAATGTGGGTCTCACATATGCTTGGTTTCTGGCTAGGGCCCATTGCATCATATCCTAACAGTGGTTGTTGCATGCTGGTTCAAGCTTGCTAGTTGGAGTTGCTACTCTGTGCTTTATGGCATCTCTGATGCCACCATGGGGCCAACTCTAATGACTTCCTCTAATCCTGGTGGCTTCCCAAAGGCCTCCCCTTCAAATACCATACAATTAGAAATACAATTACTGTCAGTGTCTTGGTTCAAGGACACACTAAATGATTCATCCTAGTCTACAGTTAGATTGTGGTAAAAAAATGATCTATAGGACCTAGAGAAGGGGGAGGAGTGGGTGGTGTGGGGATGTCTAGAGGCTTAGCGTGTATTTTACATGAGATAGTATGTTGAAAAATCTGGGAAGGATTTGCTCGAGAGCTGTATCAGAAGCAGAGATAGATATATATTCTTGTGTCCTGCCACAACGTTAGAATTCAGTGAACAATAATAAGTGTATAGGTTGTGTTGATCTTGTTGACATTGGTTCACCAGTTGTAGCAGATTTCTCTTGGTAAGCATGGCTTCTAACAGTGACAAGACATCCTTTTATTTCAATCTTCATCACTGTTATCACCTCTCAGTTCACATGTTGTGCTTCCCACAATAATGTACGCACACACATATAGAGAAGCGGTACATTATATGTGCACACGTGTTGCAGAATTGCCAAGACAGGGTTGAATCAGCTTCAGAATTCAGGGGGTCCATACTGAACATAGAGGATGAGAACTAAAGAAGATGTAGAAGTTGCTCTTTGTCACCGGCGTGGGTTCCAAGGCGCACGGGCCCTGAGTCGCCGCCATGCTGGTTGCCACAAGTTGGGTTTGTCGCAAAACCTATGTCACCCCACAGAGACCCTTCGAGAAGTCGCGTCTCGATCGGTAGCTGAAGCTGATCGGAGAATACGGGCTCCGGAACAAACGCGAGGTATGGAGGGTCAAGTTTACCCTGGCCAAGATCCGCAAGGCCGCCCGGGAGCTGCTGACCCTGGACGAAAAGGACCCATTTCGTCTTTTCGAAGGCAATGCTCTGCTGAGGCGACTTGTTCGCATTGGGGTACTGGATGAGGGCAAGATGAACCTGGGTTACATCCTGGGCCTGAAGACTGAGGATTTCTTGCAGAGGCAGCTGCAGACCCAGGTCTTTAAGCTGGGCCTGGCTAAATCTATTCACCATGCCCGTGCGCTCATCCGCCAGCGTCATATCAGGGTCTGCAAGCAGGTGGTGAACATCCCATCCTTCATTTTCCGCCTGGATTCCCAGAAACACATTGATTTCTCTCTCCGTTCTCCTTATGGTGGTGGACGTCCAGGTCGAGTGAAAAGGAAGAATGCCAAGAAGGGCCAGGGAGGTGCTGGAGCTGGTGATGACGAGGAAGAGGATTAAGTTAATGCCTCCTTGGACTGGAGAATTGTCTAGATTTCCAGTTGACTAATAAAACAGAATTAACACTTGTAAAAAAAAACAAGAAGAAGAAGAAGATGTAGAAGTCTAAGGAGTTGCAGGCACACAGTTGTTAAGGGCATAGTGTTGTCAAACGCAAGTCTGGGTAGAAGGCAGTTCTTAGTGTCATGCAAAGAGTTTGTGTTTCCCAGATGGGAGAAGCTGTATTTGAGCTGTGTCCCTTGGGACAAGAGCAGAGTCCCTTCCCTTTGCTGATCTTCCTGGATGAGGACGTGATTGGGTGATGAGTCAGTTTGCATGTCTTGGGGTGCGGCTCTTTCTACAGTTCCACACAAGAGATGTTCATCATTCAGCAGTTTGATGTGTGTTCAATAACTTTATCTGATATGATTCTGATACCCACATGGGTCTGTGTATTACTGAAGTAACAAGAAGTTCATAGGTGGTGCTATTTTGTTTTCATAAGTAAGTTATTTATCAGTCTGTTTTCCTGCCTTTGTGCTGGACAGGTATTGTTGATCATTTACACAAATAAGATGTGGAGTCATTCTCAAAATGAAGCCAACTGCTGATTTATACTCAGGGATAGACAGAGCCAGAAAGCTGTTGTTCTATGAAGTTGGAGGAACCTAGAGAAGGCTACAGCCTGACCCCACATGGGTACTTTAGGGGTGTACAAAGGCCATGCTTAGACAAAGCACACTGATTGGATGTAGGATGGATGGTTGGCAGGCTATGCTGTTTTCTTTCATAACTAAGCTTTCTGAAAAAAAATGAAGCCAGCCAACACTTCACAGGAGTGCCTAAGCAGTGGCTTTAGCAGCTCCAGACTTGTAAACCATAGGATGCAGAGATGGGAGATGTGGCCAGTTGAAGACATGAAAGGATTCAGTTCAGTTCCAAGGACAGTAAATTCTGAAAAGAAATGGGAGCAAGGTAACATTCACTAGGTGGAAGAAAGCCAATGCATGAGGCACTCAATTTTACAGCTCATGCCATGTTAAAGTTATGATGGTTCAATGAATCAATCAGTCAATGCTTAAACATTAAAATGGTTCCTGCTTACTAAATGAAATATTAAAGAAATGCACCGTGACAAAAACAACAGAAACTCCCCAATGTCAGTTCTCTCTTCCATAAAATGGCATATGAGATGTATCCACTGGGGCTATAATGAAGAATATATAAGGTAATGTGTGAAATACACCCCAAACAGATAAATCCATAGTACATTTTAGTTCATGCAATTATCTACAATCCATTCACATATTATTTTGGGCACTCTGAGTCATTTCTTCATGAAGTGTTTTCTGTGCATTGTTATTTGTAAGTGTAATCACGATCATATTGCCTATGTAAATTTAGATGAATTATATGTACTAATGTTGTGTTGTGCTACAATTTTAAAACTGCCTAAGGGTCTCTTTTGAGTCCCATCCCCAAGTCTCAGCTCATCTCCTTCCTATTGTTTCACTTTAACAGAACAAGAGTTTCTGGGGAGAAACAATTTTGGTCATAACAAACTACTTATTCTCAAAGCTAAGTAGCCCAGGGCTCTGTCCTGGGGACCCTTCTGTACTATCATGAAAGATTTATTCCATGACCAACCTTGACAGTATTTGTGTTTTTCTGCTGGTTGTGTGTTTCTTTTTCTTATTTATTTATTTATTTATTTATTTTGCAAAGAGGATGTGTATCACTCCCAGTTGACTGGTGTCATTCCTGTCACACTGAAGAGCAAAATGGGGACAGCTTATGAGAAACTAGTTAGTATTTTCTCATGCAGTATTTCATCTGTTTTCATATCAGATTCCCAGAAGGCTTTGTGGAACTGAAACAAAAGAACATACAATGCCTGAAACCTTCAGTGCCTCAGCTCAAGTCTCCTGACCCCCTTTTAGCTCTTCTTTTTTTTTTTTTTTTTTTTTTTTAACAAAAATCCGGTAACTTCTGAGCTAGTAGGGTCTAAAGCCATAGCAACATGGAGACCAAGTGTTTGAATAGTTGAGGATGTTAACACTCAAATGAGTTCATAAAACAGGCAACTAACATTTATGCAGATCTTTGTGTCCAATGCATTTGGCAATTAAAACACATTTCACTCTGCTAAGAATCTTACCTTACATGAAATGGAAGTTCAGCCACTTGTGACCGGTGTGTCACATTGTTTTCTTAAGTCTCAGTCTCATTTGGAAAATCTCTAAATATAGTAAGTTACACAAGTCATGGAGAGATGAAAGGTGATGATACATCTTAGAAACATGGAAATCAGCTTTTAAAAAATTGGTTCTTCAAAATAGGCTGAGTGTTGCATTTCTGTTTGAAAATCATTTGTAGGTGGTCCTATTAAGCAGTCCCCAGTCTATCTGTATTTATCCCTCACTTCCCATCTTTGTTTTTGACAGAATATTGTTACTAAAAGATATTATTAATATCCATAAAATAGTGGGTCATTCATCCCAAAACCTTAAACTAGAGCAGTATTAATTTTTGGCCTCAGCAAAAGGCCATCACCATGCTTGGGTGGTCTGAAAACCAAAATTCCCACACTTCTATCCCTGCGCCTTTATCCTGTAGGCTACCTTAGGGCAAAGAGACAATTTTACCTCTAGTCTTGCTTTGGGGAACTTCTATATCCTCTTCAGGTTCTGTCAAGCATAAACTGTCAATCATCAGTCAATGAGTCACTAGTTAGTTTTCATGGTTGTGATAAAATACCGGACCAAAAAATCAACTTGTGGAAGAAAGACCGTATTTTGGCTTATGGTTCTGGAGGAATGAGAGCGTCCATTGTAGCAAAGAGGCTTAGCAACAAGCAGCAGGCATGGAAGCAGAAACAGGAAGCTGAGAACTCACATCTTAATCACAAGCAGGAAGCAGAGAAAGTAAGAAAGCTTTCAACTTTCAAAGCCCATGTCCATTTTTGTCCTTCCTTAGACAAGGTCAGACCCTGGGGTTCAAGTGTTCAAATACCAGCACCTATAGAGGACATTTCTCAGTCAAACTGTCACAGTGGCCAAGAGGAATAATAAATGAATGTGTTTTCTGAGGCTCTCATTACCTCTGCTGAGAGAGAATAGAAGTGACATTGAAAGCAGAGTCAGTGGAACTTACAAATCCTCCTCGAGTTTAGTCACTAATGAGCCAAGCCTCCTGGAGGCCTGCCTGTTTACAGGTACAGCTGTTCCCAAGTCTATGAGCCTGGGATTCTAGGGTAAGCTTTGACATATTGTCACCCAGGTGTCCTTAGAAGATGGATGGCATTCTGTAGTGCCTTCTCTCTGAGTCACATTAATCAATTCACTTAGGAAGAAGCCACTTGCAGAAGGAGAGGCAGCCAGGTGCCAGAATAGAGCCTACACTTTGTAGAAGCAACAGGCATAATACTGACCCCAGAGACCACTGTTTGTGGCCTCATGCAGACTTAGTTTGCTTTTCCCTTGATAACCAC